AACAGATCATCGTTCTCCTATGATGTATATACTAAGGACTCTATTGCTTTCATGGATGGCACTTGTAAATTTGCGTTTTAATTTAGCTGCACATTAGATTATTTTGTTAGAATGAATCAAAAAGCATTAAGTGCTAACCTTGTACAAAGCATTACACCAAATGCTGAGGACAAAGGCCTGCTCTCAAGGAGGTTACATTCTAATAGCAGGAAAAAATAATATGTAAGAGGAATGGTGACCAGGGAAGGAAATTTCATTCTGAGAAGGCACAGGGATAGTAAATAGAGCAATAAAGATAATCAAATGACATGTTCTTTCCAGAGGAAATGGTAGTATTGATTTGATTACAGTTTGTAGAGCAGAGGAAGAAATGGGGTCTGTACAGGGATAAAAATAGTTGGGATGAAGATGAGTACAAATGGTCCCAGGGTGTTCAAAGCTGAGTGTCTCAGCTCTTTCCCTGGAATGGTCTCTGGAGATCTAGTTTGGAGGGTGGAGTAGCAACAGGAAGGCAGAAAATGACTGGGGTGAAGATCAGGATATACTGTCCCAGCTGAGTATCTTAGCTTCTCCTGGGCATGATTTATGGAAGTCTGGTTTACAGGGTAGAACAGGGGTATTAACAGGGCAGAAGCAGAATAGCAGGGGTTGCATTTTTTTAAACTTTTCTTTAGCTATCACATATGCATACTTGAATGCAAATTCTTAGGTATCACCTATGTAACAGTCAATCATTTTCACGTCGTTCAACAGCCCTCTTAAGTGATGTCATATATATCCCCTTCAGCTTTGATATTGAGGGTCAATTCCTATAGCAAGTCACTGGGGGCGATTTAGCAGAAATCATAGCTATTCACATTTTCTAGAAGGAAGAATATTTGTACATATACACATATACATGTGTACACACATACACACGTGTATATAAATATACATACATACATATGTGTGTATGTGTGTATATATAAATACACACACACACATATATATATTTACGTGTTTTTATATATCTATATAGTTTCAAATCATGGCATTAAAAAGGGGGGAAATAGTCCTTGACTAGTATGGTTCCTTATTGGTTCAGTTGTTTTTCAGTTGCCAGCCAGCTGCTCTGTAAACTTACTGGTTAACTTATAGACTGCTTTATCTTGCCTAAAAGTTATGCTTTATTACATTATTTCAATGTTTTATATCTCTCTTTTCCTAATTAAGTCCATTAAAAAATTTAGCTAGGTTGTAGTGAAGGGAACAAAAAGAAATCAGGTAAGTATAAACATAACAAGTAATAACAAAAGTCCTTCAGAATATCCTAAACCTGTGATTTTTGTAAGCTATGCTGTAGTTGAGGTAGTGGTTTATTTATTCAGTTGCCACCAGAAAAAAAATGTACTCTACAAGTCTACTACTATTCATTAGGAGTACGAGAGCCAATATTAAAAACTAAATACCTTTGTTTCTGGGTCAGAAAAAAAGTTGGAATAAATAATGGAGATGTGGAGACAGTCTAAAAACTTAAAGATAAAAGATGCAGAAATAGGAGCAGACTGGGAGCCAAACTGAGGGAAGTAGCACCAATACACATAAAGTAGGTACCCTACAGAAAAGTGCCCCCAAATCCTTTAAGTGCATATTAAAATCATATTGGAAAGATGTTAAGTTGCATAGCTATAACACAATAGCAGCTATGTGGTGCAGTGGATTAAGTGCTGGGCCTGGAGTCAGGGAGACTCATTTTCCTGAGTTCAAATCTGGCCTCAGACACTTTCTAGATGTGTGACCCTGGGCAAGTCACTTAGCACTGTTTGCCTCAGTTTCCTCATCTATAAAATGAGCTGGAGAAGGAAATGGCAAACCACTCCAGTATCTTTGCCAAAAAAACCCAAATGTGGTCACAAAGAGTTGGACATGTCTGAAATGACAACAACTTTTGTTTTAATTCCTAGATAGTCGTAGATTTGATTCCCTAAGGAGATCAGTTTGGTAATTTAACTAGATAATCTAAAAGCCAACATAAGCATTGAGCACCCAGTTACTACAGTACTCCCTCTGTTTACACAGAGTCTTGGGCAGCCCTTATGAGGTAAAGAGGTAATCTGAAATCCTCCAGAGTTTTCTGGGTTTTGGGTGCTTTGTACTGTTTTCTGGAGTTTAAATCTGTAATCAGTAGTCTTAACTAGACTATTTAAGCAAATTAGTCAAGAGCTGTTGCATTCAATTTTTCTACTAAAAATATTGAATTATTATAGTAAAAGACTAAGTCCCAGAATCTCAGAACTCTAGCACTGTAAGGCACCTCAGTGGTCATCTAATCCAAGCTCTATCTTAAAGAAAGGCCTCTTATGATCCATCAGACAGTTGGTTATCCAACCTCTGCTTAAAGACCTTTAATGAGGGGAAACCTATTGTATCACTTACCGAGACAGTATTTCCCATTTTTGGACTGCTCTAATTATTGGAATTTTTCCTGACATCAAGCCTAAATTTTGCCTCTATGCAACTTTTAGTCATTGCTCCTTGTTCCTGCCTTTGAGAATCAAAGCAAATCTAAGCTTGCTTCCACATGAACCCTTCTATATTCTTTGGAGCTTTGAGTGACATAAAAACAAATGTTCCTTAGATTTAGATGCTTTGGGATACACAGATACAAACATATAAATGTACATATTTATTACAGAAGGCAGACATTTCCTAAATTATTAGACATTGTATTATCTATAGGGGAAACTCCACTGTGGTGTATTTCTTTGGTAATTACTAGTAGTCAACATGAGGAATTCCTATATTCGTGAACAGTGTCTGGTAGAAACATTCAGAGGGGCTCATATCTCACATTTATCTTGGGCTGCCCTTGTTCCATACCCCACAATTAGTATGTGCTACTCAAGTTGTATGCAGCTAAATGGTAGGTGTGGATGCTGGACCGGCCATGCCCCTGTGAAAATGAGGTATATGCAATAATTTTTATTATTTCCTGTCCTTGAATGATTACAAAGTTAATAGTGGCTGTCATTTTAAAAGCTGAAAGACAGCAATTTATATGACCTTTTTAACCAGAAGAAAAATCATAATGCTTATTCAGTACTATACATTTTCTGGCACCACATTTTCCTTAATAAGAGAAGTTGGATTTCCTGTCCTTGAAGTTTTCATTGACCTCTAAATTTCATGTTATATGTTAATGAAGTATAAAAACAAAGTTCTTGAACAAAGATGAATTAGTCAGGTCTCCCTGAAGCACCACAAATCCTACACAATCTGAGGATGACGTGGCAATATCAGTATGATCCTTTATAGAAATTTTGGTCTAATGCCAAACTGCCTAATAATTACTTTTTTGAATATATATTTTGATGTTTGCATTGCTTGTATTTTCAATATGCATTACCAGTGTCAAATAGAAGAATAGAGGATGCTTTTAATTTTGTAAATTATCATGTACCTTAGTAACTATTAAAAACAGATTTATAGCAATATTTGTGGATTTCATTCTTCTCATAAGATGCTGTGATTTTTCTTCTCTCTCCATCATGTTCTGTGTTCAGCATTCTTTCTCTTTGTTCCCATCACCTTTGTTATAAAACAACATTTCCTCATAACACCCATTACGTGTTCTTCTGACAGATAGGATTACATTGAAGGAAGGACATTCTCTAACTTTTTTTTGGGGGGGGAGTACATACTGCTGTAACGTGCCCTAATTTTGTATTATATCAATAAGATCCAGTATCAACTTACTGAATGGGCTTCTCATTCAATCACCTAACCCACTGTGACTAAGCTAGCTCTCAAGTAACTGGTTTCTATAGAGACAGAACTGCTAGTCCATTGTCCAGCATGCATTTCCTTATAACATACATAGTAAAGTACAACCACACATTTAGCTCTACCACAGTAAATCCAAGATCAGTTAAATCAAGCTTGCTACTAAGACACCTGAGCCCTTTTCCAAGACCTCCCAAATCACTGAGAGGATGAAGGGAATTCTAATAAACCACTTAACTTCCAGGTCAGGCCAGCGTACCCATTATTAACTCCTGGAAGGGATTTTTTGAGAAAAAAAAATTTCCATGTCATGTTTATAACAGGCTTATTGAACAGAAGCTCGCTTAAAAGTCTTGCTAACTCTAAGATTTTCTGATGAACTAGACACTAGTCAGCAGTTTATGACATATTTCAAGCTATGATCAATGTCCTCAAGAATCTGTCAGCACTTTCTTGGCCTCCTACTTCCATCCAAAATATACAGAAGAGTACAGGTATTGAAGACCCAAGAAGCCAACAACCCTGCATTATAAAATCAAATATGGTGATAAAGTTAACAAGTTTATTTTGTCTAAAACAAGATATACACATTTTAAATGGTTAAAAAAAAGCTGAAGGAAATATCTTCCTTGATATTCTAGATTAGTTTTCCTTAAACATTTGGGTTTAGTGAGGAAAAAGTTCATGTGGACCACTTACCCTATCTGCTCTAACCTGTCACTAAATAAAACAGCAAGATTGGGGTAGGGGTTGTTTTTGCTTGACAAAAAAAAAAGCTTTGAATGAACTTGCACTTTTAAGTGTTTATTTTTGTGCTTTTTAGGGATAGATGCTTTCAATTCCAGACTACACAAAAATCATGACATTTCTTAAACATTTCCACTGTATGGCTCAAGAAATGGAAGCTTGTGGACAGTAGGTACCTAATGCCACCGTAATTCATTCATTATCAGACCCAGGATTACCTTCTTGGTTCTAATTCCCTGAAAAAAGTTGTTGTTTTTTTTTAAATGAAAGACTTTCTCTTAAAATGATTGCAGATGTTTTGTATAGTTCCTTTAAAAACACTTCCATTGTGATAAATGTTTATGAAACCACTGATATATACCTATCCCAATGAAAAATTCCAAATCCTTGTCTCAAATTACTATCTGTAGTTAATTTTGCCACTTGGATACCAAGATTAATCCTCAGTTCAAAGGAGCTGCAAACTGGCACATTTATTCCTCAGTACTCACCCTTCCATATCTGTTAGCATAGGACCCAGTAAGCAAGGAATGGAAAACAATGATTGTTTCATCCAAATCCCAGATGAATACTCTCTGCAAAAACAGAACCAAAGCAATGTGTCTTTGTACCAATTACAGAAGTGTATGACTCAAATTAACACTGATATGAAAAATTATATTGAAATGCCTGATATCCTGAAAACATAATTTTTTTCAGTATTCTTACAAGAGAAATCAACAAGCAGTGCCAGATATAGCTTCTAGATACCCATTAGCCATAAACTTAATGACCAAAAAGCTAAAAATTATATTAGCATCATAAATTTATACATAGGGGAGAGTGCTAGGTAGCAATATGTACACAATTATTTATTTGTCCATCTGTTGAATAGGTGCAATCTCAATCTTAGTCCTGGAATGAAGAGGCAGGACTGTTCTATCCTTTGCTCCAATAAAGACAGAGTTTGATTAAAAAGTAGGCTATCAGTTTCTCTTTTGTTCCTCATATTTCTTCTCATTAAAAAATATTGAAAAGAAATAAATTAGCATCCAATCCCTACCCTTTTTTTAAAAGCTAAGTTTTAGTAGCTATATAACTTGAAGGTCCTCATTTTATATCAGATCCTTACCTAGCATGATGTAAGAGTTGCTAACAAGAAATAACAATTTGCCCTTGTTGGATTTTAAAGCCTTCAAAAGTGGAGTTTTTAGTAAATTATTTAGAAATTAAAAAAAAAATCTTGCATAAATTCTATCTCATTCCCTACATACCAAGGTTGAATTTGGTGAAAGGAACTGTAATAATTATGATGAGGACCCCATGGAATTTAGTGCTTTCTTATTTCTATCCTCTCCTTGCTGCTCCCCCTCCCCAACCACCACTACCCCCATACAAAAAGATTAGCAAACTAAAATGTTTTCCGTTGGACTTCAGGTTGGCAATAAAATTTTATTGTAGTAGACTCAGAGCTATGAAATCTTGTCCTCTTTAAGGTCTTCTGCTTTTAAAATAAACATGTTAATGATGTGTCTTAATACAGAACTACTCTCTACTCTTCATATAAAGAATTTGTAAAATAATTTTTGATGGTATTGTGATAATTTCCAGAATTCCTGCTGTTTAATAGGAAATTAGAGGAAAGGTGGAATTTTATGAATAAAATTGGCTTTACAAGCAAGATTTAGATAATTTGCTATCATACTGTGGGGGAAAATGAAATATCAGTAAGACAATTGTTTTACTCTGTTATTTCTCTGACAAATAAAGCAGTAAAAATTATTCTGTGCTCTACCTATGCAAATACACCTAGGACCACCATATAGCTGTTTCTTTTGGGCCCGGGCACATAACATACCTCAAGGTCAGAATCTGGTGGTGGTGAAGGGTTATTGTTTCTTCGGCCCCGCCCACGTGATTTCCCATCTGAACCACGGCGCAATCGATCTGAATCTGAATCTTTAATAGGTGTTGAAGGACTGTGGATTGTACTGTACTCTGCTGAAATACACAAATGACTTTCACCTTTTAGTTTTACTATGGTACCAGTTATTTTAATTCAAAGGGAACTTTTTAAATAACTACTTACACTTTGTTTAACCTCAATTCTGGATTAACTCTAATGATATAGGTAATATCTTTTAGAAGGCAATCACTTTGCAAAAATGTTAGATAGGATCATAGGCTTTTTTTTTAAAGGACAAAACACATCAACATCAGACAATACCACCTTAATTTGAAATTGAACAAAATAAGTTGTATTCTAACTTAATATTTGGTTTTTCACATCTGTGGTTCTGTGGGATACAACTCAACGTCACAGAGTAGCAAAAATACTTTGTCAGCTTCCTCATAAATTCTCCAAAGGGTATCTAAATGAATAGTGCTTGACTAAGTCAAGAAAATCATTAATCTGTCATAGTAGTTGTTCTTACAGCTGCCTAACAGCCCAGAGAAGCCCTTTTGGTTCATGGAAAGTGATGAACAAGAAAGCAGACTCTGGGTTGAAGGTAGGAGTATGGTAGTATATAGAACTGCCTCTCTACTGTTAGCCTAGGGAAAGCACTTAACCAGGCCTATATGACTCAGGTAATATGAGATGAGTCTTAAGTGTAGGACTGTTTTCCTCATGCATGAGGTTTCAGAATATAATATATACTTTCTTTCCTTACACAAATCCAAAGGACTTCCTCCATAGATTTGTGACACTCTGCTTTTCACTTATGAGAAATTACTTGAATATTAAAAAAATAATACATTAGGATTAATTACTGATATTCTATTAGTTTATTCAATTGGAGAGAACATGTATTCTATGATACCATTAATAAGTTAAGAAACTCTATATAAAACTGGTTTTCTACTCTTAAGTATATATTGCACAATTCATTTCTCCAATATTTTTTTCAAACAATACATTAGCTTTCACAAAATGCTAGGTTTTATAGAAGATAACTACTACCATTAAAATAAGTACTTGCTTCAAACTCTTAATAATTTATTTTTAATGAATAAATGAATGAACAATATTGAGTGAAATTAAATATATTTTTAAAAGGGGGAGTGAGGGATATCACCCCTAGTTAAATATGCTTTTTTTTTTCTCCACTGAAGGATAAAGCCATAAATAAGCATGCAATGCTTATTAAAAGAAATTTATAAACAACTTTCTTTAAGCAAGGCCATAAACCTGAATTTTGAACATATATATATGTGTAGTAACATGATTTACATTTGAAACCTGAATACATATTTCTGCTATATTTTCTATCATATCACATTTGAAAAATGCTCATTCCTTGAATAAATTAATCACACCAACAACGTTAAAATTTCTAATTGTATAATTTGCTTTCCTTTGTTCTCATTCTCAGTCTGTTTCTTATATTCACTAAAAAAACGTCAATCCTTGTTAGTAAAAACAAAATGAAGGATGGGGAAAAAGTTCAACAAAAACAACTGGCTATTCTTTAGGAAACTGAGGAGTCTCATAGGTAAAATTCTGCCTTCCAGTGTATTTTCTTGTTTAGCTTTCAATATTAAAAAGAAATAGGGCTTCAACCAATTGTCTTTGGAAATCATTTTTTAAAATTTAATCTCTTTCATCAAGTCGAAATGTTTCTGTTTCAGAATTTTTCCTACTTGTTATGTATCTCGGCATTAATATACGTGTGTGTGTGTGTGTGTGCATGTGTGTGTATTATCTGTAGTGTTATACTCTTCAAATATTTAATAAGAGATGGCAAGCATCTTCCCTTATTTATATCATTGCTTAGCTTAACTAAATTACATAGCACTTACTGAGTTCTTTTTAATCTTTCTGCAAACTTTTTTTTCCTGTGATCTTACAATCAGTTCATTTTTCATCTCTGGACATCCTGCAGAGTCTATGCCTATTTTTTTTTCAGAATTGTGTCAGAGTGAAATAATACACCCCTTCATGCTTTAGCTTTAAATTCTAGGAACTCAGGTCTTATAAAATTGATTATTTTATCTCCTTTTAAAAATACAGTTAACACTGTTACAAAACTAGCAACACACACGTATAACACATAAAGAACCTGTGATTTTGTATACACATACAAAGATAAAATAAAAGAGGCAAAATGTATTAATTTTTTTTCCTGTTAAATCAGGAAATATAGTGTGGTAGAATAGGTAGAAAGCTGGTTTTGGAGTCAGGAAGGTTTTGTTTCAGATCCTGCTTCTGATGCATGCTAGCTGTATTACCACAAGCAAATCAATTAGTGTCTCACTGGAGCAATTCTCTAAAACCATATACATCACAGATAAGTTGCTGACCTGAATCAATGGAGACAGTTTCTGCACCAGAAATTACCTGCCTTGATGAAAGTACAGGTCTTGACCTCTCCCTACCCTATCCCTATTCCCCCCAAATCATAAGAGTCAGTATGGTATGCTGAAAAGAGAATGTCCCTAGAAGAAGCAGATGTGGGCTCTGGTCCTGATTTTGCCACTGCGTGCCCTTCAAAAAGCTCTTGAATTTCTTTAGGTCTCAGTTTCTTCTTGTATAAAACGAAGAGCTGTATGAGATCATCTCTAAGGTCTTTTCCAACCCTAAATTATTTGCTTTTATAGTGACAGAAATTGTCAAAGAATTATGCAGTTTTAGAGTTGGAAGTAATCTTAAGAGTTACTTCATCCAACCCCCTACCTGATGTATGTCATAATAACGTGGTTAATTTTCCCCTCCTTTCAAGAAACACATGTTCTCTGGACAGAGATGCCACTCATCTCCTAGTCTGTTCGTAAGCTGAGTGTAAGTCTAAACATATAGATGTCTTTCTGTTGAAAGTCTCAATCCACGTGTCAGAGAGTCAGAATAACAATGGATATTTGAAAGATATTCAACGAATCTGTACAAGCTGAAAGCAGATTATGTCTTTTTTTCCCCTCCCTGTTTCCATGGGAAGAGCAAAACCTTTTACCCTCACAATTTCTCTAAATGAAATGGTATGAAACACAGGGTTGCTTCCTACCTTTGGGGAGACAAGTTTTAAGGTACTTCAGGCTATCTGAGCCAATTACTTCTTCAGTTATTCAGCTCTCCTCTCCCAGACACAACAATGATTCCAAATCAAGATAAAATGCCTGCTCAGAGACTTGAATGTTTCTCTACCAAGTGACTTTTCATTCCTGACCTCAGTTCTTGCTTCTGTGGAAATATTTCCTCTTCAGCCAGCACAACCTTTTCTCTCATATTTACATTGTTGTTTTTCTTCAGGCTGTCTTTATAGATACCTGAAATAGTTTCCAGGATCTCTTCCAACCATATTCCTTCCATCATCAATAGCAGAACAGAAGTACTACCTTCAGGAAAAACCTATCCAGCTCTAATCCTTCACTAATTTATTTGTACCATTATACAATGTTACCTGTTCCTACTAAATAGTATATTACATGTAATAGTATCTTCAATGGTCTCTCCCACTGAGACTATAGATGTTGTTACCTTATCTTTAAGAGAGGCTATAGAATCTTGAATATAGTTTAGCTGCCAGTCTATGAGGAGTCACCTGTGACGGGACTATTTTCCTGTCATGACTGAGGAGAGAGTGAATGAGGTACACACACACACACTGTTGGGAGGGGGAGGAGGAAAGGATGAAGAGGACTTTTTTTTTAAGAGAAGGGTTTTAATTTTTGTTATTCAAAGAAGAGGAGAAAATTTTTGAGAACATATTTACCTGGTATCTTAAGATAACTGAATAATGGGACCACATAACATAAGGGAAAAGAAATCAAGTGTTGTAGTAACAGGGGCCTTCATCTGTCATATTTTTCACAATTTAATATTGTAAATAATAATTTCTGTCTGGCATTATTGTGTATCTTGTTAATGAGTTGCATGGACAGTAATTTTAACATTTATTTAAAGAATGAAGGTTGAAACAGAGAGACAGAGACAGAAACAGAGAGACAGTGTGTATGTGTGCACATGTACTGGTCCTCACAAGAAAAAAAAACCCAACAACAGTATAACTTAAAAAGTCTTTTCCTCCTCCAACTCCTACATTGAAATATCTTCACATGGACTAAACTACCATCCTAACCATGTCTCAGATTGTTTCTTTCTCTTAGAAATATAAATCAGTTAAGTTAAACAAACTCTTATAAATACAAATCAATTAAGTTAAACAAACACTTAATGAATGAACTATGTACAAGTTGCTGTGTTTGGTGTTGGGATGTAAGATAAAAAAAGAATAAAAGACCCAGTCTCTGCTTTCACAGATATTAGAGGTTACATGGGATGATAAGAGCTATGTCTAGACAAGTGTTATATAAAATGACATAAAACATAATAGGGAAGAAAACATTTTCATTTTGGGTGGAGAGGAGGCTTCAGGGAAGAGATAACAATTGAGCTGAGCTTGACAGCGAGAATAATTTTAATAGTATAGGTGAGAAGATTGTGGTAAACACACAGCATTTGAATTCAGAGGGCCTGGTTCTGATCCTGTCTCCATCACTTACTGTGTGGCTTTGGATACATACTTTTACCTCTATGTACCTTAGTTTCCTTATCTAGAAAATGAGAGAAGGACTTCTGGGATCCAGTTTCAGCTTATTGTATGAGCTTCTAAGGAGGTAGTCCATTTCAGGCAGAAGGAATAGTTTGAGTTAGAAGGAGGGAGGTGGCCCTGTCCATTTTGACTGAAATTTAGAATATTTCAGGGGAAAGGATTATAAAATAAGGGTATAAAGGTAAGTTGAAAGTAGATTGTCAAAAATTCTCAATATATTTATTCTATTGACCAGTAATTTTTTTTTTTGCTAGGCAATAGAGTTAAGTGACTTGCCCAGGGTCATATAGCTAGTAAGTGTTAAGTGTCTGAGGTCAGATTTGAACTCAGGCCCTCTTGACTCCAAGGCCATTTGACCAGTAATTTCTTCAGTGTGGTGCATATTACCCATGGAATGATCAAGATGGTCCTTTGAGATGTGGAACTTTTTCTATTTATTTTTATCTAAGAAGA